TATATATATATATATATATATATATATACACACACACACACACACACACACATACATGTCGTGGTGTTAAATTTTGTTGACTTTACAATCTGGAGAACATTTTCTTTACTTTAGCTCCTGCTAAAGTAAACTCTTATCTTGTTGGACCTTTTTTTGTTTGACTCACCTGTCTCACAGAGGGTTTAGCAGAATTTCTTGTAATGTGACTGGATGACGTCATGTGACTTCATCTGGCCTTTTCCCAGCATATCAGAACATGATAAAAAGAAATAAGTTCTTGCATAAGTGATGTTACTTCTAAGTATAAAAATGCATGTATATGCAAGAACATATGTTATAATTTGGAGCTAAATTTTGTAACTGAACAACACAAACATAAAATGTCTTATTTTGTAAACCATTACAGTTACTGTATGTTGATTCCCTAGTTTGTGTGAGGAACTCACCACCCTGGCTGCTGACTGGCCAGGTATCTCAACATATGTGTAACTCAGACAAACCTTTTGAAGGTCTTCCCCTGTGAAACTGATATAAATACAGTATGTAAAGTATGTAAAGCTATGGTATGCATACACAACATTCACTTTTGTTTTTAAACTCTGAACATTAACATTGTCACCATGTGCTGCATTTATGATCGTGTGTTTTCCAAAAGGGCTGATTTGTGCGAATGAACCTTTAAACTAAAAGGTAAACAACGGAAGGGTCATAGGAGGCAGTGATGCTAAACCAAACACCTGGAAGTGGCAGGTAGAGTATTAATGAAGCTTCTGCTGTAAAATTAAAATCAAATACCGCATACAGATGTTCCCTCTTTGGTTTCTCTCAGATTTCTCTGCAGCTTGATTTATACAATGAAGGATCCTTCAGCCACATCTGCGGAGGCTCCATTGTCGACAGTTTCTACATCATGACAGCAGCTCACTGCATCATAAGGTGGGTTTTCCTTGCACTGGACACCTGTAGGTCTACCATATCCTCTGGAATATGGTAGACCTCTGATCAGATTGTTTTTTTTTTTTCTCTCTGTCTCCATCAGCTCGGATGTCAGTCAGTACCGCGTGATGGCTGGTGAGTACAGCCTGTTTGAATGCGAAGGCAGTGAGCAGTTCACCTCTGTGGAAAAAAAATCATCGTCCATCCTGACTGGAATGGCGATCTGGCCAACGGGTAAAGGAGCAGTTAGCAATATGTAATCTCTCAGTTTAACCTCAAGCCTGAACAATTAAATGTGAGCTATGCCGAAATAATGAAAAAAAGCAGCAGACATGGCAGGTGAAGTGTTTGTTCAATGACACAATGACCAAGAGAGTCACAGTGGGGGGTTGAAACCAGCAACCCACCGGTTACAGGAC